TTGGGTGCACGCCATAAATTCTGTGGCAAACACTGCAGTTTGTTGTTGGACACGTCCATAATTTCAAGCGCCGGTAAGTTCATAATGAATTCTGGCAGCTGCTCCAGTCGATTGTCTTGTAGATACATCTCCTCCAGAACCGGGCATAGCTTGTCCTTTGGATTCTTCGAATCGGCCGTCAGAGTGTCAATCTTGTTCTGTGCCATGTTGAGATACCGCAGACTCTGTAAATAAAACATGGTAGACGGTACGGAGGTGATGGAGTTGAGAGAGATGTCAATCCGCGTGATGGCGTACAACACTAGATCATTATTCTTCGAACTCAGCTTCTTGTTGACATGCAATACTGCGTCGATCAACCACTGCAGCCGGATTTGCGAGAGATGACACTGCTGGTTGTGCCAATTGATCATTGTGGGCGTTTTCGGAAACAGTGTGGAATAGGTGACGTGGCCGAAGGACGACAGAGCAGAGAAGTGTGAGCTCTGCGTGCATTCGGTCATCGCCTTCTTGTTGATCTTATACTCGGAATCCGGGTGAGCCTTGATCGACAGCAGTTTCGCAGTCAACGCCTCGTCACGATTCTGTGCAGCAATCTTCAGCGCTTTGCACTCGTTGTCGACGGCGCCATGTTTCAGCAGTAAATCCGCGATTTTCACATCGCGATTCTGACATGCGATCGTCAGTACGCTCGAATAACTACCGTCGGGATCGTTCTGATCGTATGGAATTTTGACAGGTAATTCGAGATTAGCGCCCGCCTGAAGAAGAGCGTTTACCACCTCGGTGTGTTTCCCCCTGACGGCTACGTGCAATGCTGTTTCGCTACCATTGTTGCAATAAAGATCCAGATTCACCGGATATATCATTTTATCGTCCTTTTTATCTGTAGGTGCTTTACTGCGGAAATTCAACGACGACATCAGCCTCTGAATACCACTGGAAATCTTGCGCTTCGACACCGGAAGTTGCTGCGCGCCATTCACGCCATCCTCTTCTTTGGTCGTCCTAGCTTTCACTCGATAACCCAACAGTAGCTCGACGCATTTGACGTTGCCCAGCATGCTAGCTATATATAGTGCATGCTGGCCAGTGACGTCTTGCGCATTGATGTCGAACGGTAGCTCGTATTCGAACTCACCGGATGGATCCTTGTAGCGTTGATAAACGTGCTGCGGATACTCAAATTTGAGCAATACATCAATCACCAAGTGATGGCCATTTATTGTCGCCGCGTGAATCGGCAGCCAGCGCTCTACCGTGAGCTGTTGCACCTGCTTGGGAAAATGCCGGAGTAACAGCTCGACGATCTCCAATTTGCCGTGGTAACACGCTATGTAGAGTGGACAATATTTGGTGACCGGATGAATTCTGCAGTCGGCACCGTGATCCAGCAGCAGCCGAACGATGTCTTTGTGACCGCTCTCGCAGGCGACGAAGAGCAGCGTGTTGGCGCCGTTCGGCGTCATGTTCACCACGCATTCCAGATCGGTCGACAAACCCTGGATGATGTTCCGAGCGGCTACAGTGTCACCTTGAATACAAGCCGCACGTAAGGAAGCGTGGGTCGCCTGTTTCGCAAGCTCATACTTCTCGGCCGCCGCTTTCAGGAGGTGAATGCAGGAGTCGTGACTGCTCTTCTCGGCTATGTCGATAGGCTTCAGACCGTCATCGTCTCGGATCATGAGATCCGCATCAAAGTTCAACAGCGTTTCCACGTTGCCGGCGTGGCCATGTTCCGCGCAAACGTGCAGTGGCGTCCGATGATGACCGCGGGGACCGCAGGTGACATTCGGATCAGCTCCAGCGGTCAGCAAGACATCTAGGCAACGGGAATTCTCCGTGATCGCGGCCGCGTGCATCGGCGTCCTGCCCCACGAATCCTTACTGTTGATGTATTGCGCGTGTTCACCGCGCAGCAGATCCTCCAGCAACTCAGCGTTGTCCCAGAGCGCGGCCTGATGCAACAATCGACCCGGGAAGTCCTCGTCGATCGGCGTGTAGTCCTCCATCACGGGACCTACGAAAATACCGTTTTCGAATCATTTTGACGAAAAGCGTAGCAAGAGCTTACGTTCTTTAAAAGACCAATGCGAATAGAAATCATCTTCCTTCTCCTTCAAATATGAAATTATGCATTTTAAAAAGATGTAATTTGCGATTTAGAAATATAAACTCTTCCTTTAATTGTTCTTTCACATTTTTTTCTTTTTATTGTTAATTTCTACCTTACTCGATAGATTACTCGATATTTTAATAACTGACATTATCTTTTTACCGCTATTACAGTTTGTATCGTTTATACAGCACGCTATCATTAATGAAAATGGGCATCTTAATGAAAATTTATATTCTATATAAATTAAATAATAAACATTCGAAGAAACAGTTGTTTACGATTTTAAATTAGAATAGAGCCGGATTTCTCCAATTAAGATCTACAGATTAGTGATGATTATTAATGTAATTAAAAATGTACCTACAAATCCTGTTTATGTCCTCATTACATAATTGCTACTGTCAATGCCATTTCTTTCGGTGTCATCATCCCCTCCAGAGTGCATTCTGTAACGTGTTGAACGAATCGAATTAATAAATATTGCTAATTTATAAATATTTTTTAAGCACGACGCTTACCTCGACAACACGCCACGGATCAATGCACCACAACCGAACTGCGTTGCTCGAGAATTTAAATCCGGATTCACGCCGGCTCGGTGAGGCTTCGTGAGAGCTGTAATATAAGCAAGACGTCCATTTGCTTGATTGAAATTACAATGACGAGCTCTTGCGTGTAGTGAAACATGTATGTATAATATAATTCTTGACATGCAAAAGGAACAAAGAGAAATTCGCGATTTTTCAAAAAAAAATCAACAAATTTATGTTTCAATAATAAAATTCAAATTGTCGCTCAATAATTGTCGCAAAAATTAATTGTCAGAATTGATTTATTCTATAAAAAAAAATCCATTATTCAATTATGAAAGGAACCAAATGTTGCATGCAAGCGTGAAAATATATGTTTATCAGATCCAATTTACATCGATAAATCTAACAAATAATTGAACAAAAATATCTCATATCTTGTTTATTAAAAAACACGAAATAAAGCTTTAACACGAATTATTGAGCCATTTAAAAAATATACAAAAATATCTTCCTTATTAAAAAAAAATGAAAAAATTGGACTTTAACGCAAACAAGCCGTTTAATAAAATGCACAAAAATATCCCACTCTATTTATTAAAAAAAAATGAAATAAAACCTTACATGAGTTATAAATAGTTTAAAAACTAAACAAAAACATCTCACCTTTTTTATAAAAAAAAAATTAAATATAGAACTTTAACAGTTATAGGTCATTTAAAAAAATAAACAATATCCTATCTCTTTTATTAAAAAAATGAAATAAAACTTCCACGCGAG